CATTCAATCAAATTTTTCTCGAAATAACGGAGATGCTCCTGTTGAGGAAGACTTCAAAAATTGTTTGTCGTTTCAGATACTTTTGCGGATGCTACGTTTCAAATAGGAAACAGCGGTATCTACTGAACAACATCAAAAGGAAACATGCGAGAGACGTCTTTTGCGTCTTCATCCGACCACAGCACATTTTGCAACAGCATGCAGCGCAATTTTTTTTCTGATTGCTAATCCCCAGTTTGCGGCATGGCTTCTATGAGGAAAGGTTTTGGCGTGTGGTCGCTGCTGCTTATGATTAACGGAAAACAGTTTAAATTTGGACTTTCACTATTTCCCTTCCAGGTGCATTATACAGGCGGAGGTGTGTAGCGGCAGGTGGCATGCTTACCACGTGCACGGTGGGGGGACCGAATCCCGGATCGGCTCCCGCTCAGATTACCAAGGCCTATACCCTCCGGAGACGGTAAATCCAGATTCGTTTGGGAGGATGCGAACAGTGACTTGTATATCTGGCCTCAGCTGGCCCGCAAGTCTTGCGTAGGCCACATCGCAATCAGAAATCAACTACGATTCTGAATGGAAGCAGAATGCGTGCTACATCCCAGAAAGAAATTAATTAACTGCGAACTTTATCTTTTTTTAGTTTCACCGATTCAGTCTTCTGTGGTGGTGAAGATCAAAAGGGAGAGAGGGTAAGAGAAGGTATCGGAGATCGCAGTAGAGATCAGGGGGGGGGGGTAATTAGCAAAGTGTTAATGTCTTCTTGATGTACCGTGACCAAGACTGACAGAAAGAATGAAGCTCAGCAATACCTAGCTCAGAACTTCAGTCTATGCACGACTTTAAAGTGAGCACAAGCTCGCGTTTTACTGCTTTTGGTTATAGCTGCACGAAAACAGGGCACAGTGCGCTGGGGAACCCTCAACGGGGCAGGGGTTGTATTTGGTCGCTAGAAGCAAACAAGGGTCGTATTTGGCCTGAGAACTGCTCTGATTGTTGCTTTTTCCTGTTTCATGCTGGCTCTCTCTCTACAATGTTGGGAGACTCTCATAGGGTGGGGAGTATTTGCTACATAGCAGCAGCGAGAGGGTACTAACCAGGGAAGTCCGCCAAATTACCATGGAATTTTGAATGGAGACCTGGGTAGATCGATAGTCTATAAGGTTATTTACAAATATAGATAGCAAAACTGCAACCTGCATTTCACAAGCAACTTATGAGCAGGTAAAGTTTGTAATGGTGCAGTAGGGTGGAGGCTTGGTGGTGAGCTGTGAAGCATAAGCGAGGAATCGCATACGTCGAATCGAGTCGTGGTGGTTCAGTGGTAAGGTTCGACGTTCGACGACTCGATTCGACGTATGCGATTCCTCGCTTATGCTTCACAGCTCACCACCAAAACCTGCACCATTACAAACTTTACCTGCTCATAAGTTGCTTGTGAAATGCAGGTTGCAGTTTTGCTATCTATATTTGTAAATAACCTTATAGACTCTATCGATCTACCCAGGTCTCCATTCAAAGTTCCATGGTAAGTTGGTAGACTTCCCCGGTAGATAGTTTTTAAGGGGTGCGGCGACTTTTTTGGAAAAGTGGATGTAGGAGGAAGTTGGGGAACGTCAGTCAGTGAAGTGGTATGCAGGATGGGGAGCGCTGACGTAGCAATGGTAAACGGAGGGCAGGGGAAGGGGGAAAGGGGTCGCAATCTCCAGGAATTTTCCTCGCGACAAGAAGTACCCTGATTGGAAAGCATCTCAAAATGCGAAGATTCTGACATATTATGATGTTTAACGATGCTTAGTATAGCCTACAAAAACCACCTGAGCCGACTCCTGTCGCCGTATTCTTCCTGATACTCACCGAAAACGGGGAAGTCACGAAGCCATACTCATGCACAAAATCACAGACTATGAATGGTCATGCTAAATCGGCTAAATTCTTGCCTTGCTTTTGTATCGTCGGTGTTGGCGTCGTAGTTTTCGTGGACTAATCAGAGGATCGTCAGGATCTACCTTAGTTGTGGAGCCGTCGTCGAAGGCCGAAAGCATTGTGGTCCCGTGCGGCACGTTGTCTCCGACGGATAGCGATCGTTTTCTAGAAGGTCGTACAATAAGTGCCATTCCTTGTTTCCTAAACACATGGTTAGTACCGACACCACAAGACGCGAATGCGGACATATCATAAGCACAAACAATAACAGATACTTCCAAAGAAATCTGTTAGTCACGTCAATTAATTGTAGTTGAATAAAAAGCCCTAGGCATGAAGCGACTCTAAGGCTTAGCACGCACGCAACAATGGAAAACAAAAAAGGAAAAAGCAAGTAGCCACCTTGGAATAGCCGGAAGATCAGCAAGATCTTTATATGATGGATACTGGCTCGGAGTTGGTGATGACGATTGTACTGTTCGAGAGCTACTGAAAGAGAAAACACCACCGTATACGTTCTGTTTCAAATCTCGTTGGTTCACTTTTTCGAAAGGGAAGCAAAAATATTTTCTAAGAGGGCTCGATCACCGGTACCGTTACCGCCCTAGTTACTGTATTTTGAGAGACGACACAACACCAATTCATGAGCCGTACCAGTTCTGAATACTAACTAATCTCCATCGGCTGCAATATCACTCAAGCAGCGATAGCGGGATACAGTAAAAACATGCATGTAAGTACAAGCCCAAAATTCAGAACAAGAGGCTACACTACCATTTTGAACACTCGGCGACCGCTTTTCTAAGCAGCATGCGCAATTCTGCGTCTCAACAGCCCAAGCCATCTTACCACTAAGCTTCGAGTATAAAATCGAGAGGGGGTTGAAGCTTTGAACAGAACGAACAGGTCTTGGTCAAATACCCTACTACATACAATCCGGTGTGTGTTTGTGTGTGTGCGTGTGTGTTGCTGTTTGTGGGTCAAAGAATTCCTAGCACCTGTCGTACACTCGTCATACGGACACTTTTTA